CTTGCACTCATAACTGTCACACACGTGCATACATGCTACATTTTTCTATTTGTGATGGTGAACTTTATCTTATTGCATAGCATAGAGTGAATATGTTAGATCTGAATCTTCAAGTTCTTCTTACTGGAGCTCCTGAAGAGTTAATTCTGGAATTTATCCACTAATGATACCTCCTACTGCATGGCTTGACATTCTTATGATGAAAAAGTTTTCAATTTCCACACAGTATCTATGATCAGGTCAGTCAATGAATGGACAAAGTTTCACTGTGTGGCAAGACAATACATCTGTGCTTTTGTGTTGCTGGACTGAGTAATGCATTATGAAAAAGTGATATTATTGCAATGATGTTATCCAGCATCCCTTCAGGATTTTTGAAGTTTATTAACCATTTCAGCAAAGCTTGGTCCACTCAAATTATGAACCAATACCATAAAAGTAGTGTCAGCAGTTCTTTCTTCATCTTATAGTATCTCTGTTCAGAAGCCAAAAGTGTATGACTAGTATATGTAATTACACATTCTGTCCTGCAACAGTAATAACATTGATATGATTCCACTATCACTGGAATTAGTGTCTAATAGGAACTCACTATCTTGTTGTGGATGTATCAGCACAAGAACCTACACTAAAGCAAGCTTTAGGGGTTGGAATGCCTATTCATATTCCTTGGTCCATCCAACAAACTACATCTCAATTTTAGAGCAGACTACAGTGCTGTTACCTTGGTCACAAACTGTTAGCAATACGATGCCAAACAAGAAAAGGGTAGACTTTTCTCTTGATCACAGGTTGAGGTCAGTTTATTACTGCTGCTATCTTAGCAGGATCTGTATTGACTCCATCTACCAACTATATGACCAAAAAATTACACTTCTGTGCATGTGGGCATACATTTTCCTGATTTCAGTTTCAAGTCTGTTTTCTTTATCTGATGGAATACCATTCTTAAGTTCTCAGGCATAGATTTGAATGTGCAACCAAATACCAAATCATCATTGATGTTGAGCTTGGATCTCTTCCATCGTAACCTCAGTGGTATTAGCTTCATTACTCTCTTGCAATTGGTAGATGCATTACACAGGCCAGATGGCATTATGCAAAACGCATATAAGCTATTTCTCATGCTAAAAGCAGTCATAGGTATGCTTTTGTCATCAATGTTAAGTTGCCAGTATCCAGATACCAGATCTAAAGTGTTGAATGAACAAGAACTTTCCAACATGTTCAGACATTCATGTGTTCATAGCAAAAGGAAGGCATCAATGTTGAGTCATATCATTCACTCATTGAAAATGAACACACAATTGTGATGTACTTTCTTTCTTTCTGACAATCACTAATGGAGATAACCAAGCACTCTCTAAAGTTTGTATGATTATATCCTTTAACCTACAATATCGTCAGAACTGGCTATACCTCTAGTGTTTTAGGGAAGCTAGTGTGGTGGTTGCTTAATCAGATGTACATGACCTGTATCAATGTGGTAGTGAGTTACTGTTCAACTCAACTAGCCACATCATATGGTCCCATTAATACATTGGCATAACCAATAAGTCACTAAATTACTTATGCTATGTTGGGTCCAGATTGTTTACATAATCCTCAATCTACTCGCTATCAGATGCAGTGTGACTGATGCAACCCTAATGTCACCACTCCTCAGTTACTTCTAATTTGCTTAATGCACCAAAGACCAATCTAGCAGAAAGCTGAATAGTTAATTGCTCATAACTATAAAACAACACTGGAACTTCATCTCTCCTTTGACAGATAACTGCCAAAATTAATACTACTTGCTTTATGGACAGGATAGAGTTTATTTCATGTGTGGGCTGGATAATTGCATTACACTGCACCAATGCACTAGATCTTGTTCACACTAAATCATAGAACTCCACTTATGCATATACTCAATGTACACTAATGCAGTCCACTGTTCCCAGTATGGTTGATGTCATATAACTCTCCCGTAGAACGTCAGTTTATTGGTTGCATGGGAAAAACTACTGATAATTTCTACAGTATGACCATCTTGAGGATACCAATGCCAGAATTGAGGTAAAAAATGACTACTTCCATTCTATGAGTGACATATCCTAGACACAACTAGAGATTTGTTCTCCAGTCATATCTGGTATTTCACCATTTGCCAGATCAAAGTTAGTATCCACTGTTCAGAGCAGTGGTCTCACTTAGAGAGCCTGATATATCGTGAGATCTACCAGTGTTCTGGCTGCTCCTGTATGAAACAAGATTTCTCACCCTTGCATCCTCACAGGTACATACCAAGCTCCACCCAGTCTAAAGAGAACTTGGCTGACCACCAAGCCTTTCAAGTACAAGCAATCTACCAAGATTCCTCAAGTAAGTGGCCAGACCTGAATTGGGCTCTGTTAATGTTCTTGGGCTGTAGTGAAAGGGTTTACCACTTGTTAATGTTGGTTCTCCTGGACCCACTGAGTTCTTGGTTAAAACTTACAGCCTTGCCCATCCTGCTGCTTGATATAGTACAAACACTGTTGGCTCTCTGGAATCTGCTCTGCCATTAACTGAAATCAACAGACTTGCTTACCTTGTTGATCTGCAAAGTATGGGCAGTTCATTCGAAAGTGACCTAACATTTTACATCTAAAGCATATGCTTTGTTCCTCTTTTCTAAACTAACTGCATGATAAAAAACCATGGGTGGACTGGAATAGCCTTACCTGATCAATGAAAATCAGTGAACTGAACTGCTGCGTCAAGATATGGGGAATGCATGGTTAATTATTGGCATTACTCGAGCTTGACAGAGTGGAGATAACTGAATAGGACAATCTGTCCAAGATGTAGCCACAGCAGCTGTCTCTGAAAGCTTCTTCCTTTCCTGAGATCAGTTCAAATTATCACTTCATACCTTCTGTTGGAAACTTCCTTTGTAAAGGTGAGAATCACACCTAGTTAATGCCTTATTGCTTTACCTGAAAGTCTCTTAACAAACTTATTCCTAAAGATGTCTTTGCAATCTGTAGAAACCATTGCAGAGTATTGTTCACTTTGTAGATATCACAGGACATTCACATAAAACAGATTCTATTTGACACTTCTCTTCTGAGGCTTGAACACCACCTGATGGATTACTCTATTTTCCACCATATTGAACTATTTATGCAACTCAGCCAGGACTGTATCCAAGTCTTCCAGTTGCACCTTTCTTAGGTACTCAATGAAGTTTATGACTGCCTACTCCCGAGACCAGCCATTCCAGGTAGTTATCTGCATAAAATATTTTAGAAACTGGTTTATGTCTTCTTTCAGTCAACCTTTGAAAACTGTAATAAAATCTACATAACATCACTCATAGGGAACTGTGGGTGTAGCCAAAGTTTTTCAATGTATGTTCTTGGCTAATATCTGGCTGAGATGCTGTCAACACTGCAGGTATGATGCAGTAGGCATACCCTGGAACTTCAACCCTCTGATAAATAGTCAGTCCCTGGTCCAGAGTGATGAAATGCTCCCAGCAGTTCATTCATCAGCTCTGTATAACCCCAGGTTTCTTCCCAATCAATGGCTGCCCTGGCAGTATACCTCTGGATTCAGAGGGAACTCTGGACTGCCCCATAGTTTACAGTCTTCATTGGTTGGTGCCTACTGCTTAACCTGCCACAGAAACAGCTCTGACTGGCAGTCTTCATCCACCAGAGCTGTGGTGTATTTCTCTGGCTGGCGATATCTAGAAGTCTGGTACAGACCACCATATAGTCTCAGACTTGTTAGATGCTATTCCACTTCAATGACCCTTAGTCATCTGTGATTTGCTAGAACTGAGATCAATTCTCAGGAGCAATCCCTAATCTGCTGTTCTGCAACTGCAGAGATCAAAGTCAGGGACGTTTAAAACATTGGCAAAAGACCTACAACTAGAAAATATTGTCTAATAAACCCCATAACTCTCTCATAAAACCATTTCTCTTCAGCATCTAATTTTCCCTTTTCATTGTAGATGCTTCTATTTATAGAAAATGTTATTCTTTAAGTAAAAAAAAAAGAGTTTCTTTAAACTTGATTACACAAGAAGTAAGGGCAATAACATCCTGGTGCCACAACATCAAACTTTTTCCTTCCTACCTACTCTGTGGTATTTTCAGGTAAACTGATTTTCCAAAAGATTAAATCAGGTATGTTCACTATATAAAGGGAGGTTCTGTAAGATAAATTGTGAAGTAATATTGATTTCCATTACAAAATAAATGGACTGGACAAATAGCATAATGCACGATAAAAAACAATCATTATTATAAAAAATAAATTAAAAATATAAGTATTTCACTTTATGGATCATGGATGGTTACCTTGACTAGATGTGTGAATTGGTCAGGCTTTCTATACTTCCTTGAGATTTATTTCCAAGCTGACTAAGATGATGTTTCAGGCTGTCTAAGTCACATGTTACTTAGTTGAACTATTAGTATGAGAAACTAGCATTAACCTTGTGATTGGTCATTTCTATTCAAACAAAAAGGAGGTTGTAACCTCCAGATATCATCTAACCTACTAATGGAGGACACTGCTGTCAATCTTTATGTATAAAGGACAAAAAGAAAACTAGCTAGAATGAAATGAACTTAATGACTTTCTTGACCACATTATTTGAAAACTGCACATATGTGTAACAAACGAAAAATTCTAAACTAATATAAGTAGGTACAAAATGTATGGTAAGTCTGCATTCAACAAGTTTGCTGATTAAAAACTCTCTCAAATTTCATGCACCAACTTCTCCAACTTTTTTTTGTTCCACATTTATAAAATTAATTTTTTATAGCTTTTTTCATGATTATAATGCCACACTTCTTCAAATGGGAACTATGTTTCTGAATAAATTTTCAAATTATCCATGAAGATTTGATGATTATGTTGAAGAATATTACAAAGCTCTGTATATTCATGATGAAATACAAATGCACCTTTATTTAACATGTATACTTGTATTTTTATATATTGATAATATAATCTACACTGACAAAAACATACTTTTTATTCATCATCAGTTCTACATCTGACATTGCGTTTTGATTCAGACATTTTTTTTCTTTTTTTGAAACCAACTTCAGCATTAATATAATTTTCGGAACCTGCAAGCGTTTTTACAACTTTCTGCTGGAACTTAATCTTGTTTTCCTCATTATAAACTGGAACATAAGATTCTACTGTATCTTGAGCCTTGTCTAGAAATTCAGATCTGGAAATACATTAAACATTTTAGAGAGCCGAAATGGAATAAACATTTTGCATCAGAATTATTTAATCTAAAAGCTAGCCTGTCAGTGATGAATTGCCAGAGAATGGGTGTCTCATGTAACTTAGTAAACTCTGCGGCTAAAGCTCTATGGAAATTACACAACATTAAGAATAAAATAATGTTCATTTAACTGAGCATTCCTATATACACACTTAATACAACATATAATTGAAAGTAGTATTGATGTATTTCATTTTATATATATTTTATGGTATTTACATTGTAAACCTGAAACAAGATATATTTTTACTGTAATGTTATATTTTACTAAACATTCTTAGCAAATGTTAACATTTTCCAACACCTCCATTCACATAAAATATCTTTCCTCGATTTGTGCTGCCCTCTATATGCACAATTTTCACTCACCACTAGCCTTGAGGCTCCCACCTCACTACAGCTGCATTATAGCATGCAAATGAGCATGTGACAACCATCCACCAACAGAACTGCAACACACCCTCCTAGCACAGATGACTTCCTCTATAATGTAGATCACACTCATCACTTCAAGATTAGGCAAGAAAAGATGCACCAGAAGCAGGGAAGATGTGTGGAAAGTGTGAGTGAAGGTAAGCATCTATCAGAAATCCATTTTCAGTGTTGGAAAATGTTAACTTCTGATACAATACCTTACCTCTTCTCACAAAATGGCTAGAATCCCACACTGAGATGGAGAAGGTGCTTGAAGAGAACCCATGGAGCATGATACCCTAAGATATAGGATCACACACACATCTGCAGAAGACTGCACCTCATCTGTACCAGGGTATGCTCTTTGCCTGCAATGATGGTATGTGTTGCCTAGAAGGGCAGAACAGATGCATGTCCAATTTTGAAAGTGGACGTGCAAAATAGTGTAGAGTGGCTAGGGCACGTCAGTCCATACTCAGTGGATCAACTTTATTCCAAAACCAAATGACATCGGATACATGTCTTCTGGTCCACAGTACGAGGAGGGTCTAACCATCTTCACCTCAAGACAAGAAAGCAGAAGGGAAAAGCCACTTCTGTTCTGGCAACCTAGGAAGGGCACATGTGAGCAAACCCAGTATACAACCAACACCAGGCCACCCAGAAACCCAACATTCAAACAATAGAAGGATAGGGGAAAATAAATGTAGTGAGTCAACTCCACTCCAAAACCAGGAAGTATTGCAATTTTTTCATCCTGTGGGAGGGTTCCTATCAACCACGTGTGAGGACTTATGTTGGCTGGTCCTACACTGATCCAACACCAGGTCACCTAGGAACAGCCATTGAGGCAGCAATAGGATGAGGGAAAGCCATTTGGCAAGGTGAAGTGCATGTAGCAGATTTGTACAATCCCAAACTAGGTGACATCGAATGTGAGTGCCTTCTGGTGTGCGGTAGGAGTACACACCATCTACCTTAACAGAACACCACCACCATCCTACTCTCAACTGAGTGTGAGTGGTTACACTAAGGAGGAAGCCTTCATGGTCCACCTTATTAGCTAAGAACTAGTAAGTGCAAGGACACCCATATCCCACTAGAAGAATGGGAAAATCGAGGTGAGGAATCCAGAGGAATGCAACACCTTAAGACTGTGCATTAGGTGACCATGAAAACCCTATTTTGAAAAGCAGGCCAGTCCCAATTTATTCAACTAGGAATGGAGGGATGGGCAGAAATCCTTATTTATGAAGCAATATTCTGTGAGTATCTCATGAGCAATTTTGCAGAATGCTCCATTTCACCAGTAAGCATTAAAGACATTAAAGTTTGCATGGTGCAGAATTAAAGTTAAGTATACCCAGACAGGCACTGCTCACTACTGAGTGGGTTACAGAGATGCAGAAATAGGTCACTGTAAAGAGAAGATATATAGAAAAAGAATTTTTCCAGTCAGAGACAGTAAGTGATGTAGAATGGTGAAAGGAGTAAGTCGATATCCGGAAAAAAAAGAGACAGCCAGATGATAAAGATAATGTGTGGTATGTGGAGCAGCCTGCACAAACTTCACCAATGGATGATGGAAATGAGCAGCAAGATAGAGAGCAAGGTGTCAGATTTGGCAAGTGTAGACCTAAAAGAGTTGATGCGAATCTACATCCAATGAGACATAGGCTAAATGGGTGGGCTGTTGTCACCATCCCATAATAAAAGAAATATTTCAGGGAGATAAGGAATTCTATAGAATAAATAGATGGTAGTATGAACCGTGAAAAGGAGCAGTGCAGTCCAAATAACAACAAACTACATGGATGGGACAGAGAAAACTATCAGGAAGAAAATGAAAATATAAGTGGGAAATAGGAGGGAGAAAAATAGAAGTGAATGCACTTCCCCTTCAGGGAGGAAAGCATAAGCAAGATCAAGAAGAATATAAGAAAAGAATATGGGAAGCAACAATGGGAAAGGTCAGATCTGCTACAGTAGTCCCTCTTAGATATGACTGACCTACCTGCCATGATAAAAAAAGCCGCATCTGACAAGAAGTCGTTATTCAAAGGATCAATACAAAGATAATGAACGAACGAGTTCAAGCTGTGCCAGTTGCTATTCCCAGGGGTTGAGCATAATGGTTTATATACTGTATGAGTAGTCAGATAACAAAGTAAATTGGTACACTGTTTATTAATGAATATGGTAGATAACAGTTCAATTAAGATAACTTAAAATTGTTTTGTTTGTGTTTTATGTAAAATAATTTATTCATCAATCACATTTCATAAACATCCATATATCACATTTTTATTACATACATATAAAATATTACAAACTGACACAAAATTTATTTCACATAAAATTGTCCATCTTTGTTTGTTTTGCCCATTTAATGGTGTCACTTTGAACATTCACGAGTCTGGCAGTTATTATATCAAGGAGCATTTCATTGTTAGTTTTCAGTGCATGATTTCAGAATCAATTTATAAAATAACATGCAATAAATGTGCAGAATTCTACATCAGAAAAACTGGAAGAAAATTGGAAACTAGATTCACCAAACATAATAAAAAACATCCCATATTTACCACCACTGCATCTAAAAAAATCCACAGTATACCTATACAAAATGCTGTAATTTTAAACAGAGAAACAAACATGGGAAGCTATGTATCTTAAATGAACAAAACAGCCACACCCTAAACAAAAATTTCACCTTGAAACTTGGATCCTTTGATCCAAGTTCTGAAAAGGGACCATTCCACAAATTTAAAAGAACCAATAAAGAAATACTAATAAATATATACAAACTAAACTATTGCTAGGCTCTAGCTAATACCTAATAATACTTGAATACAAATACTACATAAAATATATGTTGCATTAAACCAATTTCAAGTTGACTAAAAATTCTTTAATTTCCATGTTTTGTTTATATTGTTGTTTTCATAACAACTTTAGTCTATATAAATGTCCATGTCAAGTTTCTATATCAACACCTTCACAGCAACTTTCTGTTCTCAGCTTGCGACAATCGCATGCTTTCCCGGATGCCTTGAGGCATTTCATTAGCCATGCTTACTGCACAGATTAGTCGAGTCTGTTACTCAACAAACTACGAGTTAATAATCTTCATACCCTGCTAGTAAATCCTAATCAAGTTACTTAACATCTAAGTCACTGGCTTAAAATTTACTACATTCACTAATAGAATAAACCTTAATTTTGCAAGCAAGCCAAAGACAAACAATAGTTTCTGATCACCCCTGGTTACCTTTCAGGACCTGAAAGTTTTTAAACCAGAATACCTATGTGTATGTACCAAGGAGTTTGACTTGAACACCCCGGGGTACCAAGACACATATACTAAGCTGTGAAGCAATCTCCAGGCATGAGACCGCTTTGTTCCATCCTGTATATATTGTATTCATGTGTCTCTGTAAATTACATTATTGGTATGAAGAAAAGTCGTTATAAAGAGGTCGCTATTTGACCTTCTGCCCAAAAATCATCGTCATATATCGCATCTGTCAGGAAGTCATTTGTGGAAGGACAGATCAATGTAAAATTGTTCTGTGCACAGAAGTCGTATTTAAGAGGAAGACTTCATTGGAAGGGGTCGTATTTAAGAGGAAGACTTCATTGGAAGGGGTCGTATTCACCAGGGACTACTGTATATCCACAGACAAAAAAAAGAACAAGAGATGACAGGTGCAAAGAGAGAAAGGAGAATGGCGTGGAAAACAACATTCTGGCCCCAATCACAAAGGAATGCTGGACAAGGAGGAGGAATGTTGAAAAAAGAACAAAACAGCAAAGAAAGGGCAGGAGAGGAGAATACATTAAAATAATGGGAATGCAAAGGTCCATAAACCTTAGAAAATAGGACCCACCAACCTTGAGCCCATAGGATAGTCACTGCAAAGATTGACAGCACTGAAGTCTACAAGGGGTGAGAGGACAGATTGGAACTGAGGAACATAAAGTGGTGACAGTGAGAAAGAAAAGAGCAAGCAACAGCAAAGGAGATAGAGAGAGGTAAAGACCAATAAAATGGTGAAGATAAGGAAGAACACTGGCATGCATCCCAAAGATATAACCCCCAAAGAAATGAGAACTCCAGCAAAATCACACAGGCAGATGAAAGTAGCCAGATGAAGGCATATGAGAGAAAAGAGAGGCAAAAGGACTTGAGTAACAAGGGCATCACTCTCCAACAAACTCTAGCCACAGATCAACTAAATAAGAAGGGATAAGTCTGAGGAAAAGAAAAATGCCATTAAAAAGAAGATAAGTGAATGAGAATCTTCTAAAACCTCCTGAAGGGAATGGTGGATTACCACAGAAAGATGATGAATGGAGGAAAAATAACAGAAAAGGGTAGAGAGTGTATGATGCAGGTGGTAAACTGAAGCCTAAGTAAAGACAAACAAGATACAGAAAATCTGATCCCCAAGTTGGAAGAAAAGACAAGAGTTGAAGAAAGGCAGTAAAGAACAAAATTAGGCCTAGTCATAAGTGGTAACAAAGGAGGACAAGGCATGCTTGCACCAAAGTAATGGTAAGAGGAGTTGAAGATGGACTAGCATATTTGGATAGAAAGTGAAAAAAAAGAGAAGCAAGGAACGAATTACCAAGAGAAGGAGTGAAACATATCTGAGAAACCTAGTCCCAAAAGTACAAAATAGGCTTATGTGGATTCAAAACAGCATAGGTACAAGATAAAGCAAATGTAGGTAGTGTAAAAAAAATCAGCAAAATCCCTTCTGATATGAAGGAGAAATATAAGTGGAGGTATGTCAGATGCAAAAAAAAAAGGCACAGGAAGCATAAACCATTCCACCACCTGCCACACAAAAGCCATCACTTCTCCCAACAGACAAAAGACAAACCCGACATCAATGTAGGCATGATACTAGTATGAATAATGTCTTGTTGTCTCCAATCAGATAAAGCGGAAGTTACTGATGCTGATGAAATAATAATGTGGAAATAAATGCCCATAAAATCTGCAGGTGCAGAAAATGATGGAAAGCAAAAATCCAACAATAAATATTTCCACAGCAGGCAATGTCTTTGTAGATACTACCACTTACAAAAAAATGCCTAAGTCAAAAAACTTCATGAGCAAAAAAAACACAATGTGACACAAGAGTGCCAAATCAAGAAGTGATGAGTGTGATCTACAGTACAGAGGGAGTCAGCTAGCTGCATTAGGAGGGTGTGTTGCACACATACTGGAGGAGGGTTTTCACATGCTACAATGTAGCTATACCACATGTTAGGTAGTAGCCTCAAGACTAGTGGTAGGAATAAATTACACATATAGAAGGCTATCAGTCTTGTTTGAAGTTAAGTACAAAGCTACACTAAGCTATCTGTGCTCTGCCCACCATGGGTATGGAACCCGGTTTCTATCACTGTAAGTCTGCAGACATACCGATGTGCTACTGGGGGGCATATAGAAGGCAGCACAAATTGAGGAAAGCTATTCTGTGAAACGAGGTAAGATATCATATTGAAATAGGAAGTTTCTGTGCTTGGCAATAAATTGTCAGCCACAGATGAAAACCATCTGAGCCAGTTTGCATTTAAACAGCCATGCTGGATGAACTGTACATGACAAACAGCTACCTAGCAATGAAAACTTCACGTTTTTATTTTTTTAACTAGTACCATTAAGAAAATAACAGAAATCATTTAAAGTTGCTTTAAATTAATGCCTTTAACCCTATGAGACTCGGCTACTTACACTTTGTGTAGAACCCTATAAAACCTGGCACCATTTTTAAATTTCTTTCTTCACATGTCACAAAGTGTTACTGAGTTACATTCAAAATTTAATTAAACCACTTTACTATCATGAATTTTAATGAAATTATTATTATCAAGTACATTATAATTCAAACTTTTATATTATCTAAGTTATTATTCCTTTATTTTGAAAGAAACCTCTGAAACATACAATTAAGTCTTCAGTTGAAATATCTTAGGTTTGGTTGCTTATGTTTCTTTACAGCTTACTCTCAGTACCTGTACAACAGTTTAGACAAGTTTTTATGTGTACAACTTTAAATTCCAAACATTAGTTTCATATTTCAAGGACTAGAATTCTGAGAAAATGGTTATACCCTCCTTGTTAGACACCATGCTCATATTCCAAAAGTAATCTGTTGCTAAGCAACAGTCTTTTGTAGACATGAATGGGGTGCTTATGACCGGTAGTAAGAGCATATTTCTTGGTTAGTCTCTTTAAGTTAGAAAGAAAGTAAGTAATATATTATTTTTCAAATTATAAGCTAACTGCCACTTTAGCTCCATTGTAGAGATCAGTGTCCCTAGCACCTGGCTATTGTTTCTTGCCTTATACATATTACTATGATAGACAGTTTAATTGCATTTAGGTTTTACTTTTACATTTTTAGGTAATTATGTATTATATGTATTTCAAAATTCATTTTTGAAACATTTAATGCTTTTTTAATTTACCTGTCATCTTCTCACTCGTGAATGCTTATAAAAATAGCTGTGTGCAAATCATCTTGCCAGTGGCTAATGTGTCTCTGTTAATAATAACATTATAATAGTCTGCAGGCACCAACTGACATTTCAACATAAATAGACAAAATTGGAGAGGAAAATAAAACATTAAAAATAAACTATAAATGAAAAGGGAGACATGTAAAATTACTCATATGACCCAAAGAAGATATTCTAAAATTATTCAACGAAGAGATAAATAGCATGTATATATCTAAAATACTTGATTTTATATATTTCAATGCACTGTACATTGATGACAACAGCTAGAGTTAGTGATACGGTAGAGAAAATGGAAAATAAAATATAAACATTTACCATTTGATATTCATTTGGGAGTTTCTAAAGATTATGCAAATGAAATGTGAAAACTGTAAGATCATAAATAGTATTTCTATACTCAAAAGGAAAATCACCTGGCAGGTGAACTATTCAGAGTCTGAGTAAAAATAACATTAAATAACGAATTTTTTATTAGAAATATTAGAAAAATTGAAAATTATATCTTTCACTTTTTTGAAAATACATACATTTAGGAAAGTTCTTATTACATTTCAAATAATTTCATCCACTAATTATATTTTTGGAACGAAATATGATGAGAGCAATACTCCCTATGCAAGATGTGAATAGCCGGGTGTAATAGGACTTGAATTTTACAAGACTCAAAGGGTTAAAGAAGACACAAATTTCAAAGCCTTTCAAGACCTTACATTCTAGAGCTGAAATTCATTATATACTTCTTCATACTCACTCTTTAATGACTGGTTCCCAGCATCCATAGGGATCAGGTTTTTGTTGTGGACCAAATGAATCAAGAAGTTTCTCTTCATTTGCCTTGTAAGAACAAATGAGCATACACTGAAAAACTACATTATTTCTCATAAATAAATTATATATGTTAAGTAATTTATAAATTTTACAAAATTTAGGAGAAAAGAAGTTTGTTCAAAAAATACTTTCCTCTTACTGAGTATACAATTACATAAAATATGCACTAACAAATGTCCACAAAGAATCATTACTTGTAATACTGTATCGTTTTTTCCAGATTTAAACGGTGACAGTTATGTTAGGATTATATGACAATTAAGAACAATATCAAAGTTATACTCCAAATGATAGACACATATACATATCTTGTATTTTTACATGTTACCTTTTCAAAATTATTTGCAATAATCCCAATTTTGATTAATCTTACTTACCAAAAACCTTTGGTTTGTTTTGAATTTCATGCAAAGCTACACGAGTGCTATCTGCTCTAGCTGTCTCTAATTTAGCAGTGAAAGACTAGATGGAAGGCAGCTAGTCATTACCACCCACTGCCAACTCTTGGACTATTCTTTTACCAATGAATAGTAGTTTGGTGGGACAGAAATTCAACCCTGCAACCTACAGATTATGAGTTGAGTGCCCAAACCACCTGGCCAGGCCAGACCCATAAACCTTTGAACAATAGCAAAGCATCAACTTCCACCTTTCTTTAAAGATATTATAGATAGACCACTTTTGAAGATAATGTTTTCAAAGTGTTTTAAAGAAAAATGTTCTAATATAAACTTTATTTTCCAAAATTGTAAGAACTTGAGAGTGCTTTGCCAATGACTAGAAGCTACTACTAGCTATAAAATGAATGGAGTGAATAATTATCTCACTACATCCTATTTATAAAAGTGTCTGTATTCCTTTTAGAAATTATTTACAACCCTATTTTAAAAACATCTCAAGTTAATATCTAAGCTCATATCGGGGTGAAGTCCATTGTAAGATAGCATAATTTTCAAAATAGCAGGGAGTGGTTTTGTAAAATGAAAAGCAACTGCCAAAATAATTAAAACAAAGTATATAAACAAGCATTTGAACAAATAAATTATTACCCATACATAGTATAAAAAAATCACAAAACCATGATATAGTTTTAGTTAAATTATTTGAAGGTATGTGAAATAATTGCTTAAAAGTCTAGTATTTCACAATCAATATAAAATATATATTGCAATAAAAAATAATCCAAGATTTCAGACTATATATTTATGATCTTTTTAATTTTAAAAGCTTGAAAGTTAACATTTTAATGCTAAAAATGCATTTCTGATAGATAGTAACCCCTACTCACCCATAGCTATCTCAACCTTCATTTGCTCTCTAGACATTGGTAAGTCTTATGAACAGAACACCCGTCTTTTATACCCCTATATTTTTTGCATCATTGCAGCAACATGTGCTGATCATGTGACCACCCTCCACCAATCCCATTATGCTCTCTATACTAGTGCA